AGCATATTGAGAGAACAGTTTAACCTGGATATATTTAGCTTGGTGGTCATATACACACATTGTTCCTCTTTTGCATGTTCAGTGGCTAAATGAGGTGCATCTTTAGCAAAGACTGGTACTTGCTGTGTGCACGAGAAGATGTCTATTTGGTTAGCAATGGAAAAAGTTTTCTCAGGAGCTAATGCATAAAGATAGCCTGGATAAAGAACCCCCACTTTTCCCCCCCACCCATTCAGCAAGTGATGGAGGTGAACGCTGAATCTGACCTTCTGACCAGTTCCAGTTAACAATCAAACGTCCAACCAGGAGAGGTTCTGTGCAAAGCTTTGCTGCTGGTATTTCATGCTGCAAACATTGACAAAGCTTTTATGTTCCTGATCCTTCCCAGGAATGATAGCCTAAAACACACACCTCTCTGACTGTGTACAAGGGAAATACTAGCATCATCCTCATTATGCCCACCGTTCATCTTATTTTAGACTGTACCAGGCCCCGGAACAAGTAATTAGTTTGTTGCTCAATCCACCAGTGTTCGCCAACAAACTACAGTGAAAAGCTAAGGCGTCTTCCCAACATAAAAGGCATTGTATCAAATGCAAGAATTATTTAATAATAATAATCCTTGCATTTGATATAGCACCTTATCACATCTTCTAGACGTCTCAAAGCCCTTCACAGAATATACAGCAAAGTGAATTGACTATCTTGTGAGCGAAACGCAGCAGCCAATTGCGCATAGCAGTGTCCCACAAACAGTTGTGGATTGAGTGATCAAATTATTATTTTTTTCAAGGAATTATTACCCTGGGAAAGCGATCTACAAATCAATTAACAACCAGGTTCCTACTTACTGCTCGGTAAACAAAGGCGTGTGGAGTAAGGAATCTTGCTCAACGTTTCGCCCTGCCCAGGGATCGAACTGGATCCTCTAACTTGCGAGGTGAGCGCTCTAACCACTAAGCTACATGATTCCACAATATTCTAGCATTGGGCAACATCGACTTTAAGTATATTTCACCTTTGCAAATCACAGATGAATGGTACTTAGTTGTCCTATTACAACAAAATATTTTCATTGTGTACCCAAAATCTGTTACACTGATAATAAACACGGTCAATTTTATTACACCTGCCAGAATGCAAAGTCTCTGGGACAGAACTGTGGACAAGTCTGCACCCGAGGTCTGTGGGTCATAAAGCTTAAATACTCTGTTTCGTTCAATTTGCCTTTGACAGGTATGGAGAAAGTTCATAAAACATTTTCCTTAGGAGATTAAATGAGCTGCGCAGCATCCTGATAGAGGAGATTATACATATTCTGTGGAAGGAATGACCTTGATACGTCAAATGTTTTTTTTTGTTCCAAGTTTATGGCTTTAATTCCTGCATAAAACTGGAAGCAATCGTGTAGGCAGTGTTGGTAAATGATCTGGCTGTAATGATTTGATCATTCATATCAACTGTATTATTGAAAAGAAATTAGACATCTGAAACAGAGTACAATACAGGGAACAGGGAAGGAGCAGAGATATGGGATGAGATAGCTCCAGGAGGGACAAGAAAAGCACAGGCACAATGGGCCAAACAGCTCCCTTCTGCACTGACATTTCTATGATTCTATTAACCAGAGTAATTAGTTAAGCTACTGAGCATGGCACAGAATAGATGTTTAACCAAGAAGTGGAACCATTTTAATAGTTCTTTAATGTGTTTAAATATTTAATTCATTGTTTTAGCAATTAATGGAATTACCTGCAGCAAACAAGACCAGTTTACTCTAGCATAACCTTCTCCTAGACTAGTATGCAATTTGTGTAAGTGTCCTAGGGGCCAATTGCGTAAACGTGGTCAACAAAAAAATAACACTCTCTTTCCAAAGCCCGTATTTCCTTGTTTATTTTCACTGTGGCCTTTTGCATTTTTGGCTTTGCTTTTCTCCGGCCATCTCCAAATTAGTCTCTGTCCTAATAGCATTATGAAGATTCTCCATTTAAATATTATGTGCACGTACAAGCATGTACTGGGGTCTGCTCCGGTCTGCTGCATTTCTGAATATAATTGCTTAATAAGGAGTCGGGAGTCATGCAAACAGGGATTTCCAGTCATTAGAAGTCATGTCCAGCCATGGGAACCCACCCCTTCCATAACGGTCTAACAGAATTCTGATACAACATCCAGCCCGATAGAAAGATGGGTTCACCTTGTCCCTCTACACGGGGAAGAGTGTGTCCATGGCGTGTGGCAACTTTCGTCTGGTAACCCTACTGTCCGTTCCAGGGAAGGGATTCGCTCATGTCCTGCTAGATCATATGCATACGTCTCAAAGCGCTTCACAGAACATACTGTGAAGTGAATTGACTGTATATTTTGTGGACGAAACGCGGCAGCCAATTGCGCACAGCAGTGTCCCACAAACAGTCGTGGATTGAGTAACCAAATTATTATTAGTATTTTTTTTGAAGGGATTATGTCGGACACGTGCAGCATTAGTAGTAATAGCAATTCAGAAATGCTGAAAAAAATTAAGACTTACTAAAAATGAAAGGTAGAAACTGAACAACAAAAAAAGAGACGATCTCGCTTTTGGTTATCTTTCCCCTGCCGGGACGGTTTAGCACCTCGGGACGTCCTTCCGACATGCAAGACGTCATATCTAAAACGTAAATTTGTGAATGTACAGTTGTGCTGCATTTCAAAGATAATCCTAATTATTTTCATTGGTTTGATCTTTGAAAAAGCAACGGATACTCAAAGGCCCTCAAGTGATCTTTGCTGAAATGCTGGTACAATTACTTGCGACTCACTGGTGTCATTATACAACTGCAGCCAGCACTAGAATGCTCATGAGAGAAGTCACGGCTGAGCGTATGGCTTCCTGCGCGCAGGGTTTAATTTTACGGCCCAAAAACAGCACGTTGTAATGGGATTGTCGCATATTACCATAACATCTATCTCCCTCGACTCGCACTCAAATAGAAAGCCGGGCCAAAGTATAGTCTTCAACTCAAAAGAGGAGTTCAGAAACCTCCTTATTAACATCGCAGAGATTTTTTGACTTTGCCCTATTATTGTGATCAAACAGGCAACAGATCCAAATAAGCAGTGCAAGGTAGTCAGTCGACTGTAATAGCGGTTAGTTAGTTTTAAGCCACTGGTGGTTTTCTAGGTGGGCGACAGTATTGTAATATGCGAAGGCTACGAGTTTCCAATCTGCCCTGAATCTTCTGTTTTCAGAACGCTGTGTGAGACTCCTTGTTGCTCTGAGGACTCACCAACTACTCAAGAGCAGGATTCTCGCTTCAAGTAAAAGCAGGTACTCCTGGTGAGAAGGATGAAGGAAGTGAATTATGAAAGTGAAGTAACCATCATTGTACAATTGTGGTAAATTGGGGGGTGGGTGGGGGGGGGTGGAAAGGACTGTTTGGAGGAACGCAAAACACTGCTGCACCCATTAAACTTTTAGCTACAGGGCAGAAAATAAACAGTTTTCCTGTGGGTACGTGCAGCAAAATTCATCTTTTGCAAGTCAAGATTAATCTTCTTAACTAGCGGAGNAAAAAAAGTTTATGGTTTGGGATGAAGTGGAAAAGAAAAAGAAATATCGCTATGATCCTCCTGGAACAGAATAGAACAGAACAGCAAGCGAGACCAAAGCCTAAAACAGTCTCCCTTTATGCATGCCTGTAGTTTCCAAAGCCCGTGTTTCCTTGTTTATTTTCACTGTGCTTTCCTCCTTTGCATTTTACAAGTAAAACTCACATAAGTCTGATCTGTATCAATCGTATAATCGCCTAAGTCATACATCTGCTCAAGTCCCGTCCAAATGTTTATATTCTACACATGTTTAACATAACTAATACTTTGCATAAGTCATATTAAATGTATGATCCCAACTGATTCGACTTTTATGAAGTTTTACTGTTCAACAAAATAACAATGATTCGATTCAGCAGCTTGCAAGTCAAAACGTACAAAATCTGTGTGTGTCTGTATATAATAAACTGTCAGTGTATTTTATAATAATACTTGCATTTGATATAGTGCCTTATCACATTTTCAAGACGTCTCAAAACGCTTCATAGAGTATACTGTAAAGTGAATTGACTATATTATCCATGCCCACTTTCGATTTATTTTCTCTCTCACCGGGATATTCACACAAAATGTTTGGGATTCCTAAGGCCCTATGCAATCACAATTTGGCAACTTGTGCAACTTGTTCACTGACCAGAAATATAGTACAAGAAGCCTAAATATTGTGTCTCTGGTTCGGCAACTGAAGATGACCCATTACAAATGGGTGTCTTATTTTTCGGCATATTCAGGATGCTCCAGTTAAGGAACTGAGCAACAGGTATTTTTAAGCAGGAACACAAGCTAAAACTCTGCTTGAAACATGTAGGCATCCAACACATCACACGTCAAATACAGCAGTAAAAATAAGTAGACTTCATCTATTCCTGAAAGTAAATTGACCAAAAATTATTAAGACATGTCCTCCACTGGACAACTATCTTCCAAGATTTAGCCATGGAAGTTGCTTTAAATGACTTACTGTACCAACAATGCCTTATGCATTACCCAGTCACTTCCTCTCCCTTCAGAAAGCAATGTCTTAAGAAATACTTACTTAATATTTTTAAAAGATACGAATAATAAGACTGCAACAATACAACTGGACACTGCTCACCAGAAAAGAAGAATGGACACGCTGTAATATCCAAACATGAACTACATCAAGCAGTCATCAAATCAAAATTTCTTACGTCAATTGCTATGAACACAAATTCAGCAGTGGACGTATTGAAAGAACTCCATCAAAACAGGTTTAGTTATTGTAGACTAGTTATAATGCAGTTCTCCCTTCCCGGTTCCTTTTTGAGGTCAATTAGAACATCTCATTATTGAGTTTTTAAAAAGAAACACAAACAGCAATTTGCAACAAGGATGTTTGATTCGAGACGGGAGTTGTACCTCGAAAGATTTTGTGTTTTTCTTACCCAGATGATGGAAATGAGAGTTGAGGTGATGAAGATGAAGTCTTTCCAAAATTCTTCTCACTTGATCGATCACGGCCTGCAAAGAAACAAATGTTACTACGTGAAATGATTCAACACAACCTAAACATGTACCTGTGAGGAAGAATAATGCTGTTATTGCAGTTCAGCATTCTGACCCTTATCTAGTCATCTCCGTATAGAAGCCTAAGTGCATCTAATAGAGCCCTGCTCAAGTGGTAAGGAGTTGGTAAAGTGGGGACAAATCCAGACTAACACCTTTCAATAATTCCAGTGTGCAGCAACAGTGATGCCCTCCCTTCTGGAGCACATCTTCCATATGGAGCACCCTGCCACAGACTGGCGTGAGTCCAGCAACTCGTGTCAAAAGTAATGAAGCTCAATGGCAAAACTGTCAGACAAGACTGAGTGGCAAGAAGGCCTCAGACGTGTTCCCCGCACCACCTGTTTCGAGTAAGACACTGTTGAAATGTTGAAGCTCCATTATTGCCCCTCAGACAGACCTGTCTGAAGATCTGTCAAATGAACGATTTGTCAAGTTTCACCCACACAGGCAATATTACAGTTGTCATTCCCACTCCGCAAAACATAGAAGTGAGCAGTGTATTGAGGAGTGCCCCGTGCAAGGTACGCTGACAAACATAGCATCGGACATTAAAAAATCTTTTGAAGACCTTTTGCATTTTCTTCCCAAACCTTTGTTTTCTTGGTTTGATCCAACCTCATAAGATCATTTGGATGTTCAGAGAAACAGGATTTGTTGATTGATAAGCAAGTTACAGTAAAGAGACACTTCAAAGTCACACACAAGGGTGGAGTCTAATACTCTATTTACAGACCTAAATGAGGGAGTACAGGTCGACAAACACTCACTGCAAAACAACTCAGCTAACAGTTGAGCGAACATTCATTTTGTTCATATCACACATCTGTAAACTACCCTCACTGATGGCAAATAGGCAATGCTATGGAATAACAAAACGATAGACTGCTAACAACAACAACAACAAAATAAGAAACTATTCAAATTTATCAAAAATAGATCAAGTTAATGGGAATTACAAACCTTAAGGCTAAGTTCCCTGATCAACTTGAGTTTCATACAGCATCATTTCACATGAACCCTTCAATTATGACTGCGTTTCAACTCCCTCTTGGGTACCTATAATATTGTACACTGCATCGTATAACAGAACGCAAATCACAATATCATGTTGAAGAAGTGAACCTCTTTATAGTCGGGTACTTGTCAAGTGGTGTCCACTAACTAGTTAAGCACCAGTTGCTTTGTAACACTCAATGTTTCTGAACTTGATTTCACCACAATCTGAAAGCACTAAAAAAAACTGTTTTCTGCAAATATAAATCACTTTGGAGTATCCTTGAAACAACACAAATCAAATGCATGTCAATTTTGAAAAAAAGTTCAGTCTCAGTTTATATAGACAGGCATTTTCTCCACTCTTCCCATAAAGGGTGGGATGTGCCAAGTTAGCTCATCACATTCAAAGAGGCAAATTAGTTATGACATGTGAGAATATGACAGTGCTCCTGTAAAGAGGCACCTTTTATCCCTCCACATCTTTGCCACAGCACACCTGCCCCAACACACTCCCAGCATAGCAAAGCTGCATGGCTGCCTCGCCACATGCAAACAACAACAACTTGCATTTATATAGCACCCCTCACGCAGGTTAGCGCCCCACAACATAGGTATTCCATCAAACAGTAATCCTTCAAAAAAATGCTTTAAAACAAATAATAATATTTTGGTCCCTTAATCCACGACTGTTTGTGGGACACTGCTGTGCGCAATTGGCTGCCGCGTTTCGCCCACAAATATACAGTCAATTCACTTTACAGTATATTCTGTGAAGGGCTTTGAGATATCTCGAAGATGTGATGAGGCGCTATATCAAAGGCAAGGATTCTTATATTATTATCATTTGGACTTGTGGAATCCTGTAGCTCAGTGGTTAGAGCACTCGCCTCGCAAGCGAAAGACCTGGGTTTGATTCCCGGCAGGGCGAAACGTTGGGCAAGTTTCCTTACTCCACACACCTGTTTACTTAGCAGTAAGTAGGAACCCTGTCGCTAACTGATTGGCAGAACACCTTTCCGGGCGTAACAGCTCCTTCAAAAACAAATAATAACAATTCAGTCACTCAATCCACGACTGCTGGTGGGACACTGCTGTGCACAATTGGCTGCCGCGTTTCATCCACAAAATATACAGTCAATTCACTTTACAGTATATTCTGTGAAGCGCTTTGAGATGTCTCGAAGACATGATAAGGCGCTATAACAAATGCAAGGATTATTATTTTCCTTCCTGAAGTAAATATGAACCTAATGTGATGAGAACTGGATCCATTTAGTGTCTTTTAAGTTAAATCCCAAAACACCGAACTGGAGCAACTTCAGCTTCAGAACTTTGGGGTAGAAATTCCACTTGTATCTAGATTTACTTTGTATTTTCTTAGCATTTCAGAGTATCCAGATTTGACACATTCTTAAATACAGTGTTAATTTTGAACTATTCAACTTTAAACTATTTTATGAACTACACAAAAAAAAGCTTCAAAGTTAAGGTTGAATTTGACTAAATTCTGGATGCTCTAAAATCTATAAAAACAAACAAATAAACTTAAGTCAGGTGGAATTTCTCCCGAATGGTTCCTGAGCCAGCATTCTGTGCAGTCAATATGAAGGACGCACACTGTTTCACACCTGAGCTGAATACTTTCAACACTCCAACAAAAAGAATGTTTTTAGTTGGCGAATTTAGCCTTCTCAGCAAGATCAGTAATGTTTCCAAGCCAATTATAGTACAACTATGCCTTTGTGCATGTATACTACTGTATAACTGCTGCTCACTTCAGACATTAAGTAAACATCCTGTTTCAACGAACAATTAATTTTAACAATCAAAACATCCTTAATTTGTATTTTGGGAATCTATTCGTATCGCATCAAAATATGCAATTTCTGGGAGAGTCGAGTTTCGCTTTGTTAATTTTTCCATTTTCATTTTTACAACTGTCCAACTTTCAGAAGTTCTTTTTTTAAAGTGATCAAGCTCTTTTTATTTTAGTTATATCAGACCTAAAATAATATTGCAAAGAGATGACTGCAGCTATCTAACTGTTCCTGGTGATTATGAGATTATGGAGATAGAATCATAGACTCTCCACTTAAACTTCTCTGCTCCAAGTCAAACAATCCCAGCTTCTTTAGTCTCTCCACATAACTAAAATCCCTGGTACCTCCTCCCTTTTGATGGCCACAACTCACTTGTGACACATTTATTTTGGCAGCAGAATGAACGCATGCTCTGATCCAGAGTGCAAAAATGATTACAATTCAAATGACCCATTTACTCCACTTCTAAAACTGGATTGGATCCAAACAGGGACATGCTGCACCAGGCGACACATCTTCAAGAACACCTGTCCCACCAGGGCGACAGTAGAGGGCACTGAAGGCATCCCATTAGCATCTGCATTGCAGGCAGATGTAAAACCTATCAGGCTACACATTCTGGAGCCACGCCAGGCTCTGGTTCCAGAGTCAGAAAGGATTCATACCAGCTTAAATTCAGAGTTCATTACCAGCATGCCCTTGTAAACAGTGAGTGACGATTTTTGAGGTGCCGAATGCACCAAAGATGTTCTATTGCACGCACTGGATTTTTAGATGTGCATTTTGTACCAAGTAGTTGGGAATTTTTTGGCACGGTGCAAACACAGCATAATGTTTAATTAGGAATCGTGTACACAAATACAAAGTTCCCACTATATTAAGTTTTCAATAGTTCCAGTTACTAATGTAAGAACTGCCTTTGTAGATTTGGTTTAAATTGAATGAAGGCTTTCTAACTGAGGTCAAGTCTATGCTTATGACCACATTATTGTGCTCAGGAAATTCATCCAGTGTCAAAAGCAACCAAGAAACTGTTGAGAGAAGAGTCTTTTTAAGTTTCATGGTGGTGGTGGGAGGATGAGGGGGCATAATATAAAAAAGGGTAATTCAGTTTGCAGAACATTTATGCAAACCTGGTCCAACATACTAACAATTCCTTGATCCACTTTGATCTGAAACACAGTCAAACATGTTCAAGCAACCACCTCCTATTAATAACCACCTTGGAGCAGCCCGAACAGTGTGTGTACACCCAACTAACCCTTACTCTGAGGCCACCCTTATATAAAGGCCACTTGGCCCAGTCCACTGAGTGGTCCCGGCCAGGACCGCTTCCCCACCTCTGTTACATTGTCCACCTCCATCCGTACCTCAATCCAAAAGCTGCCAAAACCCTCGTCCACGCCCCGCTTCGACTACTCAAAACGCCCTCTTCGCTGGTCTCCCGCTCCACTATTCACAAAATGCAACTAATTCAAAACTCTGCTGCCTGCATTCTCACCCGCACTAAACTCCATACCTCCCTTACCCTACTCCGTGTCAAACTACATTAGTTCCCTGTCACAGAGCGGATTTCAAGATCTTCACTCTTGTATTTAAATCCTTTCACTCATTCCAACCGGCATACTCCCTACACCACTACCTATTGCCTCTGCTCGACTGGCTCCGGCCTCCTCCTTATCCCCTGGACCGTCTACCCCCAGCCATGTTTTCAGTCACTACGCCCTGAAGCTCTGGAACTTTCTCTATCAATCCCTTCAACATGCCCTCTCTCTTCCCATTTTCAGGTCGCACTTGAAGACCTTCCTCTTTGTCCGTGCCTATGGTCACCTTCCCCTTCCCCCTGACTCAGCAAGTTTCCTTATTCCGCACGCCTGACAATAATCCCTCAAGAAAAAAAACAATAATAAATTGGTCAATTCAATCCACCACTGTTTGTGGGACACTGCTGTGCGCAATTGACTGCCCCGTTTCGCCCACAAAATATAGTCAATTCACTTTACAGTATATTCTGTGAAGCACTTTGAGACGTCTAGAAGACGTGAAAAGCGCTATATCAAATGCAAGGATTATTATCTTATTCTTTTAGCTACAATCAAACAGTAAGTGTTTTGAGACCATTTTGAAGCCAAGGAG